ACCCTTGATAATGGGTTTGATCCAGCTCCCAACCAAGTTAACTGAGTTTGGTCAAATCAAAGCAAGGCAGCACAGACACCAGTGCTGCTTGGCACCACCCAGCTAGCTCACCTCCACTTGTATAGACCTCCAGCTGTCGGTTGATGTTGGATTTGTCCACCAGAGAGTGCAGCACATTAAGGACACTGTGGACGTTCCAGATCTTGGGGTTGGAGCGAAGGAAGTCAATTTCCTCTTCAGACTTCTTGGCTGTCTTACAGCGGTACTGGCTGAAAGACTGGAACTACAGGAAAAAGCAGAGATTCAAGGACGAACAGCTTGTTTGCAGATGCTCAGCTGAGTGCACTAAGCTTACAAGTTGCTCACACAAATGCGATACAATAAAGTAAAAGTTGCATGAAAAAAATAAAAAGAGTTTCATCTGAGATCACCTGGAAATCAAAATGGTAAATTATATAACTTTTAAAGCACGTAGGGAAAAAAATGATACAGTACAAAGGGAAAAGGCCAGAAAACAGATTGAAGCAGAGAAATATCTCTTAGACAATTAGGACAGGCAACTAAACACAAATTTGCTGTCTGAACAGGTAGCAAAGAGAATGACCAAATCAGAAGATGAGTCTGCATACACACATCTTTTTTCTATATATGCACATATCCCTTTTTTCATCCTTAAGCTTGACAAGACAGCATTTGAGGAATTACAATATTTCCTAATGTTAAGATCTTAGACCAGAGCTTATTTCAAAGCAGGTCATCAATCTCTCAGTGCAAGCATAAAGGCCCAATTGACTAAGAAACACAAAACTTGTGTTCTGAAACAGAAATATCCACAAAAGTTCAGGACTCTCTAAAGAGCTCACCGAAGTTTTTTTTTACGTGTAGTGGTATCCTCACTATGAAAATCACAGCAAGAGAAGAGATGGAAAATTCATACAACTAATAAAGACAAAGCCACCCCAAAATGGTCTAGACTTATAGCCACATACCTGGTATATGAATTCATCAATGATATCCCAGAGCCACTGGTTAGGCAGTTCCAGGGGAGCAGGGCCATCGGCATCTGCAGAAGAATAGATGAGAGGCTCAATACCTTGAGCAAGAACAGTGGCAGAACTGGAGGAGTAGATAAATTAAAGAACACAAGAATTTCCCTGAAATGGGAGATGCAGCAGTAGATGAATGAAGCTTCCAGCAGGGCTGTGATATGTAGCTTCTACTACCTCAGCTGCTTTCACTTTCAAAGACTATGAACATGCACAAGGTTAATCTCTAAAGTGTGACGGCTCTGCAGCAGCGATTCTCAGAAGCTGTACACAGACTGTAGGGGTTTATCCCAACTGATCTAATCTCCACAAAAAGCCTGGCAGGGAGTCACAAACACTAAAATTTGCTCCAAGGGGAGTCAACAACAGTAAACAGTTGCGAAAACACTGCAAGTTCCTTTAGCTTAGTTTTTCTTTAGCTTCATTTTAATTTTTAGTAAAAGTAGATCAAGCAGTTCTCAGGAAGACAGAAAGCTAAATAAGTTTTATTCTTTACAGTGTTTCAGAAAGCACTGGGAACTATTTCTGCTTTTTATGGTTTTAAATTCATGGATGCAAACTGCTCTTCATTCAGCAAACTCAAACATACAGAAAGCTCGTAGACTACTTCTCCCTCTGCAATCTATACACAAACATGTTGCAGTTCTTCTGACCCTTTCTCCAGCTCCACCCTCTCCATCCACTCTCCCTCTCCAAAAATAACAAACTAGACATGGATTGCAGCAACTCACTGAGGATGTAGTTGAAGAGATTGCAGTAGTTGTAGTAGGATTCAAATCTCTGCTCCAGTGTGGGCCCCCCCTGCAATGAGAAGTCAGCACAGTCTGCTTTGTTTTGAGCACCAAAGAGGGAAGTTCATGGGCAACAGCATACAAAGGACACTGAATAGTCACAGCAGTGGAGGGTCTCTTTCAGAAGTGTTAAAGCCAGTATTCAACTAGGACATCCACCAGCATCACCCAGAAAGCCTGAAATTGTATCACTGTTGTCCCATAGAGCAGGGCTGACTTTTCCTGTACAGGTAGCTTCTCCCAGGACAATTGAGCAGTCAAAATTCCTGTGAATATTGTGCATTAACCTTCCCTCTTCCCCTCTCTGCTGCCCAGACTTAAGAACTTCCTATACCTTCACCAGCGTTCCTTCCTTCTCCCTTTATGAGAGGCCTTAATAAATCAACAATTCTGTTTCTGGACAGCATTTCTTAACACTTTGACCTACTGGTAAGGAATCACTCTCTTCCTAGAGTTATCTCCCTTGTTCAGCCTGGAGACACTGAGTCTGAGAACCACCAACAGCACAGTTTGAGAAACCAGTTTCTCCTGCTAAAGCCTTGGATTAACACAGCACTTTTTAAAGTGCTCATTTCTCCACCCTCTGGTCCATAGTAAAATTGCAGTTATTACTTATATGCCCCGTAAGTCATGTGTCTGTTCAGCTTTTTTCCTTAAAAAACCAAGTACTGCGATTTTCTCACTGCCTTTAAAGCAGCTTAAATAAAAAAAACCTGAGGGATTTGTTTTGTTTCACAGAGCATTATTCCTTCCACTTCCTCCTCCTGTATCCTTTATGGTATCCATACTTCCCTCTTTGCAAAGCACTCTGACCCCATGAGGGGTTTTTAATCACAAATAATGCACCTTCCTCTTGTGAAACTCCCCTCATCCACCTGCTCATCTGAAGAACAAAGAGTCACGAAGAAACACACAAAAAAAGCAATTAAAATGTAAATTCAATTACCTCCCAAACCCTCCTTCTTCCCTAACTCACTAACTCACTGAGCAGCACTGAATGTCAGTAACAAACAGCTTCTTAAAAACTCAGATCTGTCTTCCGATTCATTTGAGCTATCAGGGAACCCTGCACACTCATTATAACCAAGCCTGAAGAGACAGCTAATGAGCCTCAGACAAACAGTCAAGTCTTTCTTGCTTTTCAGCAATCAGTGAATCCTCACCAAACTAACAAAAGGCAAGAATTCTAAGTTTCCCTAGAAGCAATGTGACTCACAGCTCACAAACCCATAAATCCTGTCTTGCAAAAACTGTGGGACCACTGAAACTGTGGTGGCAGCAAGATTTGGCAAGTTTGCTGGCACAAAGAAACCAGCATTCAACCCACAGGAAGACAAAGGGCCAACACTCACGCTGACTTTGGCGTAGATGTGCCTGTAGTACAGCTCCTTGTATAGGATGAGGAAAACAGCATCTGGAAAAGATGACAGAAGGGGACATGAGCAAGCCACAAGGCCTGTTAGCCTCCTGCCATAATCATAAAGGGAAGCACTTAAGGATACTTCGCAGTTTGACTCCTTGCCAGGCACTTGCTGAAGGAGCTGCCAGAGTGGACAAAGACAACTGACTCAGGCGCCAGCAACGCTGTGCACCTGCTCACTCATGGATCAGAAGGATTTAGTTCCTTCTCTTTCCAACAACCAAAGAAAAAGACTTACCGTTCCCAACCTGAGGGGCAATGGCCTCAGCCTCTGGCCATGGGGTGTTCTTAAAAAACCTTTCTGTCAGTTTTGTCCAGCTGAAAGACAAGCACACGTGGTATGAAAAACCACTTTTCAGTATGACAGTGATGGAGTTACAGATGACAACAGAGGCGCCTAGGGTTTGATGAAGGCTGAGCACCACCACTACCCCCTGTAACTCCAATGTTGAGGCAAAGAACAAGAACTGCAAACTAAGTAGTTAGTCTTCAGTTTATCCCTCAGTCACGGAACAGCCGTGCATGTTACTTTGTTACTTCCACATTTTCTTTATGGTAAGGTGACACAGCAGGAGTGGAAGAGTATCTGTAAGGAACACACACAAAAGTTACACCTCACAGCTTTCTGCAAACTGCCTGGCTAGCATGACTGAGGTTCCTTTCTGTAGCCTCCATATCTGTTAGGCCAGGGTTGATATTCTTCTTTAGAGGGGTCACAACTCACCTATACTTATGTTAGTCTAACAGGCTGGAAATATCTGGGTTTTTTTCCCCCCAGTAACCAAACCAAACCTATTTTAGAGAAAGCCCAAGTCTGGAACAACACAGGTAGCAGCAAGATTTAGTAAGCCTTTCCTTTTAAGGGCAGGGTGCACTTTCATCCCAGTTTAAACAGTGATTCCCACTTGCAGGAAGGATGATGTTGTACCTGTTCTCATAAATGTCCTGGATCTCGTACACCTTCTGGTCAATAACATCACTGGAAACTCGGCTGGCCTGGAGCTCGTACACCTTCTGGTCAATGAGATCTGACACCGTCTTGTGAAAATACTGAATGAAGTTTTTGATCACTTCGGGGATCACTTGGTAGGTCTGCTGCTCGTACTGGCGCTCGTAGGCCAGGTCTTGCTTCGGGTCTCCTGCGGGGAAGGTGGAGCAATGAAGCAGCCGCCGCACGGCCTGGCCCGGCCCCACAGACCCAGCCGGGCGACGGAGCCCCCGCGGAGGCGCGGCCCAGGCCAGCACTCACCCGTGTGCATGTCATAGTCGTTGGAGTACGCGTAGGGGTCGTAGGCAGCCTGTGGGAAGAGGGCGGCAGTGAGTGCCCGCGAACAGCCCGCCCGCACCCCCCACGCCCTCCGCCCCCCGCCCGCACCTCGTTGTCGTAGTCCTCCCCCGGGTAGGCCATGGCGGCGGCGGCGCGGCGCGGAAAGGGCTCCGGCCGGAAACGCGGGCCTGGGGCGCGCACTAGGGCGGGGCTCGGAGCGGCTCGCTGATCGCTTCCATTGGTTAAAGCAACTGTCCGTCTTCAGCTCCCTGAGCCGCCATGGGCTGCCTGCGGTCCGTCCCTCCCTCTGATAGGAGAACGCTCCTGCCCGTCAGGCTTTCCTGGTCACCGCCTCTCTCCTCGTCTTCATCCTTGCCTGCGCCTTCCCCATTGGCTGCACTCAGAGAGCGAGGCGCCTCCCATTGGTCGAGCGGATACGGCCCTCCCTGTTGCTATGGTGACGCTCCGCCCCTCTCCCCCGGCCCGGCCCGTGAGGGGATGGAGGGTGGCGGCGGGGCCGACGCGGCACCCGGCGCGGGGCCGGGGCCAGAGCCGGAGCCGGAGTCGGAGTCGAGGTCGGAGCCGCAGCCGCAGCCGCAGCCGGAGCTGGAGCCGGAGCCGCAGCCGCTGGTCGGGCTGCCGCTGCTGGAGCCCGGGCTGCCGCTGGGGCCGGCGGCGGGCGCGCCCCTCGGGTACCTGCACGTCCTGTGGCAGCGGGAGGAGCCGGCGGGCAAGATCCCGGCCCGCCGCCTGCGCAGGGCCGCCCGCCTGCACCGCCGGCTGGGGCCCACGGGCAAGGAGGCCCACGGTGAGAGGGGGGGGCGACGGGGAGCCGCTGTCCCGCCCCGGGACAGCTCTGCCTTCGGCCGGCTCCGCATGGGAAAGGGGTCGGATCTGTTCTGGGGGCGACTTGGGAAGGCATCCCTGGTCCTGCCAGGGGAGGGTGCCGGTCAGAAGTGGGAGGGCTTCCGGAGGACACGAGGAAGAGCTGTTCTTACCTGGTGGCTTGATCTCCGGCTTCCCCTTCTCCTGAGCCAGGAGCAGCAGCGCGATTTGGCCCCACACCTGGGCTCGAGCACCAGGATGGGACGTTCCAGTAGGGAAACGCAGCTTTCTTCTGTGCTTCTTAGTAATTGCTTTCTTTTCTCCACAGCTCTGAAAAGGCTGCGTGAAGCTGCCAATAGCAATGATTTAGACACAGGTAAGGCTTCTGTCAGTCCCACTTGGGATCTCTTCCTGGAAGGGCAGTATGTCAAGGACTCTTATTTTAGGAGAGGACAAAATGGGTGCTGATAGTTTGTGGACGTGGTGCTTTAGATGCTTCAGATCTAGAAAATGCTCTTTTGGAGCCCAGTTTCATTCTCTGATCAGAGTGGGGCTGGTTATAGTGTTCACTTTTTCACTGCAGCTGGTTCATAGAGTTAATTTTCCAACTGCCTCAAGCTAAATCCGCACTGCACTGTTCCAGCTGCTTTAAAATGTACCTTTTGCCCAGTTGTAAGCAGCAAGAGAGTAATGTTTTGGTTAAGGTGGAAAAGCTGTGATTATCTAAGCCACGCCCTGTAAGATGAGGCAGTGGGACCCAGTAGATTAGAACCAGGACCAGAGATGGACTCTGCCTCTCACAGTGAACTCAGAGAAGGCTTATGGCCTATCTGTTACTCTCTTTACCTTTCTAGACTGTGGATTAGGTGGGGTTTGATATGAAGTGTCCAGCAACAATATCTGCCCCTTTTCATTGTCCCTCCTTAGACTGTGCTGTCCCCTCAGCTGTGCTTGCCTTTTATCAGGCCAGTCAGTGAACAGAATTGGAAACTGGTTCGACTTGTAGAAAATCCCAGTCCACCAGATCGGGGGGAGGTTTCAGGTCCTTCAGCCCCACAATACACCTTCTTTCACAAACTAATGGGTAAAGTTCATCTGTGGGTTCTGTCAGTACAGAAGGGCTGGGCTTCAGTCAGTGAGTCAAGAGCAAGAATGAAAGAACGTGGCTTTATGGAAGTCGGTTTCAATCCATCTTGGATGTGAAAGACAGGTTCCCCTATTTACAATCCTGATGTGTTTTCTGCACTCTGCAACCTGAGAAAGTGCCTGATGATTAATTTATTCTTCATCAACAAGTAAACATCTTTGCTGTTTCCTGTGGTGGCATTGGGTGGGAGAGGTTATGTCATTCCTACTGGCTTCAGGGGAGGACTAGCTAAAGTGTTCCCCATTAATGGTTCTCACTGGGGGCACTCCAGTCTCCTTGTCTTTCTTCTGGAGTATCAAACATCCCCTGTTAACGCCACTTCCATCTTTTCAGGTGTTCCTTATAGTTCTGTGCCACACTAAAAGCAGGAGGTGTACAGGAAGAAATTCAACTGTGGCTATAATTCGATCTCTGGAAGCTGAGATGAACGGTGACTTTCAGTGGTCTGAGCTATCTAGTTTCTGTCTCCAATACTTGACAGTCTTGGCTGTTGCAGGATATGCTGCTAAAGATCTCAAAATATAGTGAACCTGTCAGCATTTTTAACAGCTACATAGCGAGCTCTATTTTATGCACTCATCAGGGTTACTCTGTCAGGGTGATCTCAAAACAACAGGAGTATTAAAATGACCCTTACAGTTGTTCTTACCCATGTTGCAATAGATGCTATTTTTATGTACCTAATCTTTGCAACCTTTACTGGTCTCTTTGCATTGCTCTTGTAGAGTCAGTGCACTCCCCTGCTTGCTACCCATACTGTAGCCACCATTCCCATACTTTTGCCACACCGGGTGTGGCAAAAAAACAGGAGTTTCGGATGGATCTGGGAAGGGGCATAGTCAAAACAGGCAAAAAAATGGCATTTCTCACTAGACATAGTTACTCTGTGAAACTTTGACCACGAGTCCATATTGGTGTGAAAACTTTACACAGGCACAGAAAAGGACCGTGCAAATCTATGGGGAAAGCCCACGGATTAGTAGTAAGCACAGGATGCTAACTCTAGCTTGGGAAGTGCCTGAGATACAGATGAGTAAAGCTGAGAGTTAGCCCCACATCCTTCCTGTCTTTTTATACTCTTCTCTAGGCATTTGCTGCAGATTGTCCTTGGAACTTGAAAGTTTGGCTAGATGGATCCTTAGCCATTAGAGTTGTTGGCTTATCTTTCGTGGCAACGTGTGGAAGGTGGCAAAGGCTGAAACAGAGGGTGGAGGTTGTGCTGCCTCAGCTGGTTCTGCTGAGCGGGATGCTGGTTCAAGTCCCATTGACTTGGCAGCTGACAGCACATATATCTACCCCAGAAGAACAGATAGCATTACCCCTCTCTGATCAGGTGCCCCTTCAGCTTACCTGCTTTCTTCTCCTCCTTGGTGCTGTCAGTGCAGCAACTCTTGGAGGATGGAACTGATCCCTGTGCTGCGGACGACAAAGGCCGGACCGCCCTGCACTTCGCCTCCTGCAATGGCAACGATCACATCGGTGAGTGGGGAGGGGGAGTTCTGCCTTCCAACCTCTCTGTGGCAGAGATTTCAAAGGATGCTCCTTAGTTTGATTCAGCATGTGACAGAGATTGCTCTTTTGTGTCAAAGTTGCCAGCTGAACTCTGGCCCCAGGGCTTCCCATGTCCCCCTGTTGGAGGGGGAGCAGGACCTCCCAGTTTTAGGGCTGTACTGATGCAGAGGGAAGGGTGTCCTTCTACCCTATTCTTCCCCTCAGAGAGCCCAAGGGCAGTGACACTGCCTGACTTTGAGCTGGGTCCTTCTGCATTGCTGCACAAACCCCTGTTCCCTGTCTCAGTAAGGAAGCTGATGAGCTGAAGAGAAGCACCTGTAGGCAGCCTGGTGGCTGCAACGTGGACCTGTGGCCCATACGGGCCTGACCTGTGGGGCAAAGGGAAGGGACTGATGTGGTTGTTTCTTTGTTTCCAGTGCAACTGCTTCTGGACCATGGGGCTGACCCAAACCAGAGAGATGGGCTGGGCAACACCCCCCTACATTTGGGTAAGTGCCACAGAGATGAATTTTGCATGAAGAGATGTGAGGTGAACACCACCTTACTGTTCCTTTCCTCTCCACCTTCCTCTTCCCTGTGCCTCAGAGTATGCATCCCCAGATTTAAGGACCTAGAAGGGGCTCTTTGAATTTCACTAGCTTCACTCCTCACAAAGTTTAGGGTCAGAAAAAAGGTTTGAGAGAATTGATTTCCCTCCCTCTGCCAGCCCCATGGAGCGCAAGCTCTGTTCCAGAGGGAATACTCGGGCTTGAGTGTGAGGTTATCTTAGCATTTGAGCTGTTCCTCTTTCCCATGGCAAAGAAGCCTTTGGGAAGCTCAAGCTCCGTGCTTGAGCAGGAACTCATTTTTGCTAGTGCCTCTGAGTTGTGTGTCCTGTGTTTTCCCTCCCCAGCTGCCTGCACGAACCACGTTCCTGTCATCACCATGCTGCTGCGCGGAGGTAACATTTCCTCTATAACAATTACAGCCTGTCCCTTTCCTGCCTGCCCTGTTGATACTCCCCAGGGACACCAGATCTTGACAACAAATCTCACTTTCTGTCCTTGCTCGTGCATCTTGCAGGGGCCAGAGTTGACGCCTTGGATCGAGCCGGCAGAACCCCGCTGCACCTCGCTAAATCGAAGCTGAACATCCTGCAGGAAGGACTGTCCCACAGCCTGGAGGCCGTACGCCTGGAAGTGAAACAGGTAAAAGAAACAGTGCCATGTTCTGGTAAGGTGGCGGAGCCCCTGGCAGCATCCTGCACCCTTTATTTAAATACCTGTCTGTAGGTTCTTAACCACTGTGGGGAGAGTTTGACTTTCCCTTCCATTTTCAGAGACCTTCCTTTTTCCCAATCTCTACTCTAAATTTTTGCAGGACCTCCCTTGGCTCTGGTAGGCCAAGGATGCATTGAATATCCTAATTCTCGGGCTGTATGGAGCACTCCTTTTCTTCAACCACCATGTAAGACAGATGCCTTGTGGCAGGAGAGGGACCACAGCATGAGGCTGTAGCTATGGTGTGCACATGCAGGGACTCTGTATTTCTAGAACAGTCTACCCTGTTCCAATATGTGGAGCCATGGAATAGGAAAGCAGTTGTGAGGTTACAAATGCACAGGGCATGGGCCTCACATCAGGAGTCTTATAGGAGCCACAAGGATTTTCATCCACTGTGCACAAGCAGATCCTGCTGGAGTGGGAAGTTCCTGCTCCTCACAGTGAGGGAAGCTAGCTAGCCATAAAGAGAAGCTTGGTGCTCTCGGGGCTAAGCCTTATGCTGCTTCAGCTGGGCTTATCTCTCTTCCCTGTTCCTAAACCAGACACAAGGATCACAGGTAGTCCGTCTGTGGCTGATGAATGCCTCTGGTGACTCACTGGGCTCTTGTGCTGCCATTAGTGCTGTGCAGTTGCTTTGCATTTGTTCTTCTCTAAGGATCACGTACTCTGCCATGTGCTGCAGCATCAAGGCTCTGTACTCGGTGATCTAAGTGCAATTTAATTTTTCCTGTAAAAACGCCTCAGCTTGGTGCAGCTCTCTGATGTTTGCCTTTTATGCCTCTTGGTTTCAGATTATCCAGATGTTGCGGGAATACCTGGACCGTCTGGGGAGGCATGAGCAAAAGGAACAGCTGGATGACCTCTGTTCCAGGTTACAGATGACAAGCACGAAGGAGCAGGTAGGTGTCGTTGAGCTACTGTGACTCACCTTGTGTTGTGGCTCCTGTGTGTAGGAGAATGCAATTGCATGAGCAGTGGATGACATTAAAGACATGGTTATGGAAATGTTTTTGTTCACATTGGGTCAGGTGGGCAAGTTACGTGATGACTCGTACTCCTTTAGGCTGGAATCGAAAATGCAGAAAGCATTGCTGTGCCTAGCAGCTCAGGAGAGAAGCTGAACATCAGATGGGCTGAGGGCACAGTCATTTTAAGGCCAGGATCAGCACAACCACACCAGGTTGCAGGGCGTGTTTGGTTTTTTTCCTACAAAGGATTGGCCCTTAGAAACAGGCTTAGAAGAAACAGCCCTGATACCACTGAGTTTTAGGTAATGCAGCAATATGCTTTTATTTTAAGGACTGGCTAAATCGCACAGGGTGGAGGTTAAGCATTGACCTCCTGAGGAATGGGAAGAACTCCCGTTGCCTTACATTAGGGCTTGTTTGATCATGAGGATAAGAACCCTTCTACATGATTGTTGGGACCAGAGGGATCCTGTCCTAGCATAAGCTCAGCACGGGCATTACTGGCAACCCTAGTTCAGGGGTAGTCCCTGCTGTGTCGTGGTTTATTCTATGGTGGCGAGTGGCTGTACAGCTGCATTCCCCTGCCTAACAGCCAGCTGTATTCTTCTGACAGGTGGATGAGGTTACAGACCTCCTGGCCAGCTTCACATCGCTCAGCCTGCAGATGCAGAAGATGGAGAACAGGTAATGGGCTTCCAAATCATCTTCCTGATGCAGCAGAAGAGGCCTTAGAGAGAAAAAAAGGAAGCTGAAGCTTGCTTCCCAGATCGCTGAATAAACATTGCTGCCAGCGGCCTTTCCTGCCAGACTGACTCTCCAGTGGTGCTCAGACTGTTCCTGTTGGTGCTGCCCCAGCTGCCTCACGGGGAGGCAGCAGGCTTTGGACAACAGAGGCAAGAGACAACAGAGTGCCGCATCTGTGACTTTGGGGTAAAAGAACTGCTCTACTTTTTATCAGATGGGCTGGTGATGAATAGGATACCTTCTCCAGAGATATTTTGCCTTCTTCTAAGTACTTCAGCTTGATGTAGGTGGTGGCTGATGTCATGTACAGTCACCAGCCCTGACTAGTGCACTCAGCAGCTGGCCAGCATCACAGAAATGCTTGAAACGGGCACTTTTTGCCACCTCCATAGTGCTCAATTGCCTGAGAGAGAAAGTGAATACCTTGGACAACAGAAGGCTTTGTGCTGTGAGAAGCACACACGCTTAATTCTGCATGCTAGCAGCTGAGCAAACATACTGCTTTGAGAGACATGCACTGAGGCTTAATCCTCACCTTCCCCAGAGCCTGTGGTCAGAGGGCAGAGAATCTGTCTGGTTACAAATGGGATACAGCTTTCACTGGCCTCATTTTTTAAATCACTGCTGCAAGTTAGTGCTTAGATACTACAGTGTAACACTTGCAAAAAATACCCAGGTACGCAGCTAGCAGGTCAGAGCTGCCCTGATGCAAGAATAAGGTTTGGGGGGTGACAATCTTAACATAGTTTTAGGTAGACATCTACATCTTGCAAAAAAAACCCCACCATAACTGACTTTTGTGTTTCCTGTTACTGGCAGTCTCAGGCAAGGGGTCCCGTTGTGACAGGAGGTGTTGCACGTGCAGCCGTATTATTGGGCTGGGATGGATATGGGTTTATGTCTGCCTCAGCAGCACCAAGCCCACTGGTCAGCAATCCTGTGTTTCTTGCTTGTCATGCAGAGCCTTAAGTGCAGTGTGAGAAACAAATCATGACTTCTGCTGGGAGTCTGAAGTGATGAAGCTATGCAGTGAATTGATCTTGCTGCTCTCTCACTTCTGCCCCTGTGGTTAGTAATGAAGATTTAGATTACTTTGTTTTGGAGCAGGGATCATGAAATCCCATTGATAGGGTGCCAACAGCAGCAGGGAGCAGGAACATGCCCAATAATAATCTGAATTCCTACCTGTGTACCACACCGTGGTAGTGCTGGTAGCCATACCCATTCCACAGCTTGGGAATCACTGGTTTGGAAGAGTGCCTTATTAGGATTCAGCTTAAACATGCAGCAGCCACAGTTTGGAGCATTCTTCAGAGACCTTTAGATCAGCATGCTCTCTGATATCTGCCTTTTGTCCAGGAAGAGATTAAGTGGACCTCTGTGTTCAAAGCTGAGATACCAGAAATAGGCATGGCTTTTAGATGAGTTCATCCATGAGGTGCTGGAGAACATGACTGGGACCAGCAGTCTTGTGGTTGGTTGGGCTGGAGCTGTCACTATGAATAGTGGTACTTCGTTATGATGTGCTGGATGGGAAGGATGCCAAGGAGGTGGGAGACAATCTGACCTTTTTGTATTTTAAACTTCAATAAAATCCTGTCAGCCTTTTAAGACTCCTCAGCCAAATTCTCTTTTTCAGAGCAGCCCATTTCTCTTTCTTTACTGTATTTTCCAGGCCCCACGCACAGCACTGGACTTGGTAACTGCTACTGTCATAGCTGGTACTGAAATCAGAAGCGACAACACAAAATTGTTTGAATTCAAACACTTCTCTGTTTGCAGATCAAAGTACATGGTTGCTGACTGACTTTTTCTGATCCTGACTCCCACAGACAAGAAATCCAAACTTGAAATCTAGGCATTTGCTGTGAAAACCGAACAAATAGAGGAGAGAGATTCTCAGCAGAAGTGCTTCTGCACTCTTGCAAAGGTATGGAGCTGGTGGGAAGGTAGTGGCTGAATTTGTGCCTTGCCCCATGCTGGATAAAATGGCTGTGCTGTGAAGAGGCAGCAAAGGGATGAGGGACTGGGGAGGGACATCTGGGCAGTGCAAAGAATTTCCAGTGTGGTCCCTGTGTAAGGAGCAGGTGACTTTCATGTCCAGCCTTTACTTACCCTATTTCTTCCTGTCTTCACAGCCTAGTCTTGGTGTCCACATACACCCAGCTATCAGCGCTTCTGCCCTCAACAGCCTTGTTGCTGAGGAGACCATTAAGGTGCTCAAAGAGCAGGTGGCTGAAATGCTCTTTAACTCTGCAGTTATTTTAGTTGCTGATGTTGTCTGCTAACTAGACACCCCTTGGAAGCTTACCTCAAAGCGGGAATACATCTAGCTGGGACTCAGAGTGAAGCTTTTAGCCTCAGCACACGTGATGTTGTCAACAGCTCTTCAAGCTTTTGTCTCACCTGGCACTGGTTTTTTTCATAACAGCTCCTGACAGGGGAAAGGTGGGGGTGCTGCAGACAGCCAGAAGCAATTATCTTGCTTCTTGTGCAGCACTGCTCCCTCCATGGGAGGACGATCAATAATAAAACAAGCAGGGTTATAGGAAGTTTTGCTTCTGCTTTAACAGTAACACCAGGTAAGAAAGACAAAAGGGTATCTGGTTTTCAGTAGGGAAAAAACTGCATCATGTAGGAATCACATTCTGTGAATCACCACACTTAGTTCTGCTTTCCTGCCTCAGGAATGAAGCACTGGGCTGCTGAGAGCCATATCATGTGTTTGGTACTGGATGGAGAAAAGTTTTATGTTTCTTTGCATCAGCCGGTCATGCCAAAACCTTAACTACCCTCTCATGCTCAGCAGCTGTATCTAGAACAAGTTAGGTGCTGGGGAGGGAAAGAAGACGTTCCAGGGGAGGAGGAGACGGTGGCTTCACACTTCTAAGAGCTGTTCACCGGCACTGTCTGTTTTTTTTGCTGCTCCTGGCCTGGAGAATTCAGCTTCTCCCAGCAGCTATTCCCCCCATCCTTGCACCCTGGGCCACAGATTTCCGTGCACAGATTTCCCTGCACAACCCGTGAGGCTGGTGGCAGCTTTCTGCATCTCCCAGCGGTGTCTGCTGCAGCAATGGAGAATAGAAACAACAGCACAGGTTTCCCTCTGCTATTTGTTTTGCCGTTATAATCAGTTCAACCTCCTTATTTTCTTTGTACCACACCATCAAACGCACTTCCTAGATCCCTTCCTGAGCAGTGATGCATCCCTGTCCTCAGGGCCATGATATTAACTGGGACTTGACTCTAGGCCTTGTTCCCCCTCACCCCTACCTGACTTCCAAATACCCTCCATTTCCCCTCCTCATTCAGAGCATGGCTCTGCAGGGATGTGCTGAATCCCCAGCTACTGAACCCAGCAGCAACCTCCCTGGCTCTACAGCCGCTGCTGTGCTATAAGATGGTACCAAAGCCAGCGAGTAAAGACTGAAAACCTGCTTGTGTCTCACTGAGGACTCACAGCAGAAGCAACAGCCCTGAACAAAACCTCCCAGCAAAGCCACATGGATGTTGCTAAGCAAAAGGCCTTTTTCTGAAGCAGCCACTCACCCATGCAAGCGAATGTGAAGCGCGCACTGTAATGTGTGTGAACATCAAGAGTTTGTTCAGCTCTTCAGCAGCTGAAATAATTAATCTCTAACATCTGAATTCTTTTATTTCCTCCACCTTTGCCTTTCTAGCACACTCCAAATCCAGCACTGCAATTATCTGTGCTGCTAAGGAAGCCCAATGAAGCATCTCTGGCAAACCCCATGAAGCATCTCTGGCAAACCTCCCACTCTTTCATCTGCTTCCTCTGCTCACTCTGTGAGCAAGATAGATCTCTTCTCCTTCATCACAGGAAGGTACTTACAGAAAGATGCCTTCTTCATGTGGTGTGCCTGGCCCACGTGGGAGAGCAGCCCTAGGCAGCTGAGGGCTTAGGGGGTGAGTAGGTGGAAGAGTCAGTAAGTTTTGATTAGGAAGCTGATAAAAGAGGTATGGCAAACAGCGTTCCTTTGGTTTTTTTCTGAAAGCTCTGAGAGGGGAAGAGGGCATGTGGTTGTTGGAAGAATTAACATAATCAGCTGTCAACCTGCTAAGGCCGATTGTGGATTAGCAACCAGCAGCTAAATCCAAAAGCAAGTAACCAGAATTCCCACTCCAGGACTGCCAGATTTGCATGCAGGGCTGTAAGCACGATGAGCTCCTTGGCATCTGGGTCTGACACCTCCCAGCAGTGTTGGGCTCATGTCACACATGCCAGGGAGATGCCAGACACCAGAACCAGTGCACAGTTGGCAGGAACTAAGTTGCTCCACAGAGAGGAGATGGTGCCGACCCCTAGCCACAAAGCCTCAACCTGCTCACACCTCTCCCATTTCATCTCTGTTTCAGCTCTTGGAATGGCAGTACTCGGCAAATGTGGCAAACCAACCTCTGCAGGGTTAAAGATGAGCTCATCAGCCTGGGTGATGACAAGTAGGAAAGAAAATACAAGCAAGGAGTCATTAATTAAGGCAAGAAGCTAGGAGCAGAGACTGCAGAATGCTAATCAGTCTGGAGGGAAGGCTGCGTGGAAAGCAGCAATGAAGCTCCTTCAGCTTTAATTAAATCTAACTATATCAAGGATGTGACATCTTTGCTTCACCTCTGCTTTTGAGCTGAGAAACCGGTTGGAGCATGTATGCTGTTACTGGGCAGACAAGAATTCCCTCCTGGCTCCAGAGCCTTCCCAACTGAAACTCAGTGCCTGCCCATCCTGCTCACATGCTCCCCAAAATCAGGGCTTAGCACCAGGCAGAGCTTAGGGAAGGGGCCTGGGGCTTGCAGCCACTTGTCACATTAAATGCACCTTCTCCTAAGGTCTTCCTTGTCTTCTCTGCCCTGTTTTATTTAGGCTTCACCCAAATGTGCAGCAGTCAGTTCTGAGATGATCTGCTTCCTTTGCAAGCTGGGACTAGGAGGAGCAGGATCAGGGTGAGAAACAGCCCAGCCGCATCTGGGCAGGAACAGGCAGCATCCAGCTCTACCACATCACTCTTCCTGACTCCTGTTCCCTTCTCCCTCCAGTGCTTTAGGCTGTGTAGTGAGTCTTCACCCATAGAAATGATGTAGGTATTTGTGTTGCCCAGAGGTGGGTTGAGGCCATGTGAGCTGGCCACCAGCCATGGCATCATGTGCAAAGGGTGGCTGTAGAACTTGCTGTCCCGGGAAGGTGGGTAAGGCAATCTGGACATGTTTCTGAAAAGCATCAACTGCAGAGGAGTGGCAGCCATCATGAAGGGAGGGAGCTTGGAAAATCACAAACAGGGATAGGAGGCGAGGGAGGCTCGAAGTGCAGAAAGCAACATCAAGCACTTGAATGGAGAAAGAAAACTAATTCCCTGCACAGCTCTTCAGCTGGCCTCCACACCCAGAAAAATGGGTGTCCTTGGAGCTGAGCTCCAGCAAGGTCTACAACAGCTTCAGCAAGCATTAGAAATACCACGTCACCTGGGAATTTAGGAGCAGGCAGGACAAAGCAATAAGGAAAGATTTACGCAAACAGAAGTAGGGAATAGAAAGAGAACAGAAATAAGGGGGAGATTGTGGCTCTGCTCACACACATCACAGCTCTGCAAGCTGCCTGATGTCACTCAGCCCTGCTGCACAATGTCTACAGCACTGACAGCATTGGAGGGCACTGCTGGGACCAAAACACCTTTACTTTTTACACAACCTCCAGCACCATGCATGGGGACAAGTGAAGACACCAGCAGATTCTGCAGGCCATGCAGGGCTCAGGACACCACCGATGGCAACTGCATAGCTTCCCACAACTTAGCATTTGATGCAGCCTCGTGCTGGCAATTGGCTCCCAATGATGATCTCTCTCCTCTCTGCCAGCTGGGACTCCTCAGCATGAGTTCCCTCGCTGTTTCAATTAGCTAGAAAGAGAGGTGTGGTCCTTCCAGATTTCCAGGCTACAGAGTCTGCTGTAGCACCCAGTCCTTGCGTCTCCACCTGGAAAGTCAGCCCATAGGTCTTTGCTGGGAGGAATATCTCCATGAACATGATAACTGTGGGCAGTGGGGTGTAGGAAAGTGAACTGCTGTGGAGAGAGAATGACCTGCCTTGTTCAGGGCAAAGGTGTTCATTCTGAAACCTACTGGTGCCATGACAATCTGTAATTGTTTCCCATCTTCAGTGTGCCCCACAATGTCGCTGCTTTTCACAAACACTTTTTGCCAAGCTTTCCCTCTTTCAACCTGCTATTAAGAAATTATGGGTGCAGATCTGCCTCATGTTAAGAGTTAAATACTCAGGATCCATACAGCACTAATTAAATTCCATATGTAATTAAGGAAAAGGAGGGTTGTTGCAATGACTAAGTTTACTGTGAATGTCGTGAGTGGTGATGGCAGGTCTCAGACATGGCTACAGGATTGTGGAGGAGGTGGCTGAGGAGCTCTGAGGAACTTGAACTCAGTGGGTTTGAATGAGCGAGCTCATCTCTCACTGCCAACATAAGACCATCTCAGTGGGGATAAGGTATGGGTCTGATGATCCTGAAAACTCTTGTCGTGCGGTCAGAAACTGTGATGCTAATGGATATTCCTTTCTTGCCTCTCTAGACCCTTTCTAGGGCTTCTTCCTGTTTTTCTTCTACAGCATGACCAAAAGCTCCCAGGCCACAGGACTGAGGCTCAGGGGCTCTATCTGTGCTGGCAAACAGGATCTGTCTTGCTCACACTTGCAAGTCAGGTGCCATCACACACCTTGTGTTCCTAGAGCAAAACTGTCTCATCCAACGGAGGGTGGCCTTGGGTGGTTGCAGTCACCTGCAGCACATGGACTTGGCACACTGGGAAAGCTGAGTATCCCGCTTGGTCCTCCCCTCCCCTCTCATGACTCATGTCATGGCCACGTGACAAAATGGGAGCTATGTGAGGTCAGCCAGGCACTGCAGCAAACCACAGCATTGCAGCAATGCAAATCCCACCGGCTCCCTCCCTCCCACATGTGCTAGACTGATCAAAGGCCTTGCTTGGACATTGTTTTCATGAGCTTCTCTGGCAGCCTGATGATGCAGAAAAATGCTGGAGAAAGATGTTGTGGGGCTGGAGTCCCAACACAGCCAAGTGATGCTCACCCCAGCTCTGGAGCAGCAGGACGCTGCTAGTATGAGGAAAAGTCTCCTGCCAAAACATGGGTGCTCTGCCAACACATTGCTTCCCACCTCCCTCATGCCCTCTTGTCCACCCTTTTGCCATCTGCTTGTAGCCCCTCACTTTGCACTGCCTTCTCACCACCACTTTCTGTCCCTGGAGATGGCTCTCACCCAGCCCCACACATTTCTTATTCATATTGCCCCCCCACACCAGGTACTCTCACCATCCCTCCCTTTCCCTCTCTCTACTTCTGTCTCCTTCTGTGACTCTCTTAAACACTGGCAGTGCTGGAGTCATATTAAAACCCTCAGCTTTGCTGCTTCTGGGCACTTCTGCAGTGTTTGCAAAGGCAAATAAACCAATTGCCGCCATGCTAGTGAGTCTGTGCTCAGATGGTTCATGCGGCCTACACCACCTCCAACCCAAACTGCAGAGCCCTGTGCACGGCAGAGATTGTATCCAACACACAGCAAACAAGGCAGGAGAAGGCAATTACCAGGTTTATTAAGGTCAAGCAGGGGAGAAATTCCAGCAACTTCTGATTTCTTGTCCCGCCCTGCCATCCCCGCAGCACTTCCCACTGTCAGGCTGGGAGGATTCTTGGCCCTGCTACAGGGTGTCATTGAGCTGCTGCCACAGCTAAAGGTTTCTCCGCAGCTGCTCGGGGCAGCAGGGACAGAGCAGGGGAAAGTTTTTCTCCCAGGTGGACATGGGTCCCACAGCTATCCCACAACAGTGGCCAGTCTTGGAAGATATCCCAACCCCCTCAGTGGTGTTGGCCACATGCTCTCCTGGAAGTCTTCTCCACCATGTAGAAAGGAGCACTAAGGATTGAGCTAAGTGCATATGGGGGTGATGGGCCTGTTTCTTTCTCCTTTGCCTCACCATGATTGTCACTTGGCTCTACAGCTCATTTTGCAGCTTGGCTACTTTCTTTTGCTCTGGTGACAGCCATCAATTCACTCACCATCGTCATCATCACATAGAAAAAAAATGTCTGGCCAAGTGAATAAACAGTGCGTGTGGGGCTAATATCGCTGAATAACATCACTGCTCTGAGAGCAAGAGGACCTTCAGCCCCAGAAGGAAGGGATGAAATTCCAAGTAGCAAGCAAAGATCAAAGAGGAGGCAGCAATCCCTCAGAAATTTGAGAAAGGCAAACAGAACGTAAGCAGAGGGGTGGATCAGGTAGAACAATGCTGTGCAGATTGTCTCATCGAGCTGTTGGCACAGACAGCTGACTTCCTTGTGCACCAGTTCAGTACTGGCAAAGATCCTTTGATCTGGATGCAGAGGCGAGGGAAGGGGGCAGAGGTGGATGAAGGCTGCCCCTGGCACATGGCACATAGGAAAAAAAGGGCATGTGGGCAGGGGACAGTGTTTCTCCACTTGGGGCTCTCAGGAAGAGAGGCTTCCAGCTACTCTATTCAGACTCAGGTCCCTGTGAACTCCACCCTTCCCACCCATGCTCTGATGTGACCTTAACAGCCTGGATTTCCTACCAGGATATTTTCATTTTGGTTTCCTCCCTCTCAGAGTTTCAAGTCGTTGCACAAAATTAGCAAGTTAGGAAGTTGGGAAATGGAGTCCTTAAAATGTGTTGCAGGAATGCTGCTCAGGTCACTTGACATCATATTAACATGTCCTTCTATTCTGCATCTGGTTAGGTGGATTGTGACATTCCTAGGTGAATGCTGTGGGCCAGGAGTGAAGGTGGGTGGGGCAATGGGTTTACCATTGCCACAGGATCTTTTGGTGGCTCTGCTGCATCCATTCCCCTCTGCCTCACATTATTTGGCCTGTTTGGGAATAGAGTGGCTACTCACGGTCTGGAAAATGTGTTTCTTCACTTAGTTCATCTGTGGTGAACAGTCAGAAACTCCTGAGTTCCTCTTAAAGTGGTCATGTCTAGGGAATGGCAAGCTGTTGCCAAATGTTCCTCCTCCAGTATCCCCTTTTTAACAGAGACCATGGCATCTTGAAGCTGCTGAGTCCATGCTCTGGCATGACTGGCACCTTCATGGTCCCTCTTGCTGGTGTCTTCTGGGACCTGGGTCACCTCAGTGTTGCCTCCATAGAAACCTCTGGTGCTGTTGATGAAACCTCTGTCCACATTGACCATATGGAATTTCCTTCCAACTCTCTTCTTCTTCTTCCTGGTCTTGTTCTGGAAGAAGAGGCAGGTGAAGACCTGCTTGAAACGCTTGCGGAAATGCTTGGAGATGAGGGCGTAGACAATGGGGTTGAGGCAGGAGTTGGTGTACGACAGGCAGTGGGAAGCCAGGCGGCAAATGTAAGTGGCTCGGTTGAAGGGGAAGTGGCCAAACCAGAAGCAGAGGATGACCAGGTGGTGGGGCAGCCAGCAGAGGCAGAACAGGATGGCCACAGCCACAATCATCTTGGTGACCTTACGCTTGGCCTTCCGGGACTCTGAGATTCTTTCTATGGGGTCTACGGAGGTCCACAGGAACTTGACAGTCCTAATGTACGCCAGGCTCACCACGGTCACGGGCAGGAGGTATCCAAAGACAAACGTGAGGATGTCCAGAACCTTTCGGCGCTGGTCCTCCCAGATGGGGACACAGATGGGCATACCATGGTAGTGGATTATCTGGTAGTAACTGAGGTAAGGCCCTGCGAAGAGCAGCGACAGTGACCAGATTGCTGCAATGGCCACTCCTGCGTTTTGGGAGGTGCGGAGGTCACGGGACTTCAGTGGATAGCGAATGGCCAAGTACCTGGCAAGGAGGGGAAGGAGATGGAGAGACCAAACACAAGATGGGTGAGATGAGGTATTTCTCCTGCCCTGTGGGGATGCCATCTATGCACCCCTACCCGTGCAGCCACCCATCCCTCCCCTCTGCCACCTCTTGGGAGTGAGGGTTACAGTGAATTCACAGCTATATCAGGGTCATTCCAACAGTGAGGCTGAGATCTCCATCATCCACTCTGCTGTACTAGCTCAGGAAGGGCAAGCAGTGTGTCTCCTGAACCAGGGAAGAGAAAGACAGGAGCAAGACTCTACTGTTTCCCCTGAGGTGTGTTGCTGTCCCGGGGCTTTTGCTATTCTTGGTTATGCATGGTGGACACTCCTCCTTCCCAAGTGAGGGTCAGTAATCAGGCTGAAAACTTGGCTTCGTGGAAGGCGAGGGCATGGAGAGTTGGCTCTGCTGGCTCTGCCCCTGGGGAGACCCAACCTGCTATTTACAGGACATTCAACAGGGCAGCCTTTCTCCCACCTCTTAGCTCAGGAATGGCAAACACGTTGTCTCTGAGCTGAGAGTCTCAAAGGGAAGGGGAGACTTACCTGTCAATGGAGACGGCAGCCAGGGTAAAGCTGCTGGCATACATGGTGAGGTAGATCAGGAAATGCACAGCCTTGCAGGCAAAGGCCCCAAAGAGCCACCCATCCAAGGTGTAAATGGTGGCCTGGAAAGGGACACAGCAGATGATGAAGCACAAGTCTGCCACAGCCAGGTTAAGGATGAAGAGGTTGGTGGTGGTGTACTTGACTTGGCCATTCTGCAGCAGCACAGCCAGCACCAGCCCATTCCCCACAGTACCCACAAGGAAGATGAGGGAGAAGATGATGGGCACAATAATCCCTGCTGCTTGAAACTCCAGGCTGTCAGAAGAGATGTTCCATCCCTCTGACATCTCCCCACCTGACCGTGGGGACCTGCATGGGAAGAAAGAGAGAAAGCTCTAAGGTGCCTGATTCTAGCCTTTGACACCCATATTTCTCCAGAGATGCCAATCTCAACCAGCTGGTTAAATGATGACACTAAGATCCTCATGATGTTGCTGGCAAGAATGTTGTTGGGATCAGTCAGCTCACACCTGGCTTGAGCAAAGCTGAAGCCCCTTTCTCCTGCCCAAATTCACATTCCCACCATGGCATCTCCTGTGCTCCCAGCCCCCTGAAGGATCCCCACTGCCCTACCACTTGGCCTCCTCTATATTCCTCCTACAATCCCAAAGCTGCTAAACCTCTTGGGATTGCTTGCTTTGGCAAGTCTAAACCCTGGCTAGTATTCAACCGGGCTTGTCCACGAGGCTGTGGGGAAGGGGGCTCCCATGGTCTGCGAGTGGTCCTGGCACACTCAGCCCAGGGCTGTGCCACCTCCGTCAGCAGGGACCTGACGCCTGGATCACACCCCACAGCAGCAGCACCCCAACATGCTCTTATCACGAGGGAACTCCTTAAGATGGGGCCACCTCCACTCTGGAACTGGCTGCTCCTTGCTCCCGGTGCAGTAGCTATGCTCTGCAGAGAAGAGGCAATTAAGGGCACCTTTTCATGACACTGAGAGGTGGTAATGGGCTGGATGGTGGCAGCTTGGTGAGGAGCTGCCTGAAATACAACGATAAACACTGTGAAGAAGTGTGTTATTACCACTGCTCAAGGTATTGTGATCTGCTGCAAAACTTCCTCCAGCCCTGAGTAACACTATGCTCAGGCAGGGAGTGCCAACAGCCTATCTCCAAACGAGCCTTCCCCTTGTTTGCTATCACTAGAACAAATTGTCCTTCTCCGAGCAATAACTGAGAGGGAAAGACACCATTATCTAGCTACTGTTGACATGCAATTAACTCGGTTTTGGGTCATGCAAGCTCCTTCACCCCATGCTCCCCCACGCCTCAGCTCACGCCACTTTGTTTTCCCAGCTCCTATGTGTATCACACCAAAAGACTTTCTCTGCCTCTCTGGCTCTTCTGTCCCCTCTGTCCTACTGATAACTATCCATCTGGCCCCATGAGATCTCCTCAGTGAAGCAGAGGAGCCTGGCCTCCCTCTGGGCATGCATGGTCATCAGGGTGTCTCTTCTCAGGGAGCCTGAGGCCACCTCTCAGCTTGGAAGCCGGCACTCACCTTTTCAAGGAAGGGCCTGGAGCTTTGCCACGCGCTTGGGGAGGGGGAGACCTCTGGTCCAGCCCAGGTGATGGTGACAAGGAGGATGCAGACTACCAAAGAGTTTGTCCAGGCAGCTTGGTCACTCCAGTCACTCCTGCCTGATGCTCCGCTGCCTCCCCCTGCCTGCCACCAGCTCTGCTCTCTCTCCTTCTGGAACTCCTCTCCTTTCTCTCTGTCTCCCCCTTTTTCCCTCCCTCTGCTCTTGCTGCTGAACCATAGATCTCTGTTGATTTTTTTTTCCCCTTTCTCTGAGGTTGGGTTTGGATTTAACTCCTCTCTGCCCAGCTTTCCTGCAGGCTCAGCTGCTCCTTGTTCCGGTGAGGAAGGGGTGGCAGAGAAAAAGCCCACTATTCTCTGGAGGGAGAGAATGGAGGGGGGAAGGGTCCCATGGACCCTGGTGGCCACCCCTCAATGCTGAACGTTCAGGGTGTCTTATCCAACACCTCCAGAGAACAAGAATATTCCGCCACAGCGAGCCTGGTCCCTGCCCTGTCCTTGGGATAGGGCCCTAAACCCTCTGGAGCATAAGCAATTAATTGGTATTACTGGCTGTTATTAATTATTGTTAATAGCATGGCTCTGAGCAGATTGAGCCTCTCATGCAATGTCTGACCTGGGGAAGGAGGAGAATGCAGGTTTTGGTTTCCATCCAGCCCAGATCTGCACGCCACCAGTGCTGCCAGGGCACTGCAGGGTGAGGAGGGAGGACAAGCCATCAAGGGAGGCTATCTCCAGAGGTTCAGCTCTATCACAGTTGCCTGGGACAGCATGGGTGCTGGCTGATGTGCCAAGAGATGACAGTGACCCACACAGCCCTCCTGCCCTGCTGCCATGTCCACCCTGGTGACAGGACCTATACCCTGAGGACTTCCAGGTATGCTAAGACTGAGTGCAGCTAGGTGATCCTTTCCCAGCAAGACTCAAAAGGCCACCAGCTTCCCTTCGCTGGGAAGGTCCTGGATGCCTCTTCCAGTGATGGAGCAGGATGCGGAGAAGGAGGTGCTGGCCCCTTCCCCTCCACAGCAGCCCTGATAGCCTTCTGGGGTCAGTGGAACCCTGTGGCCTGACAGAAGGGATCATACAGCTTCTCGATCCCACATACTCCTGTGGCAGAAGGGAGCATGGTGTCCCCGCCAGCTCACTATCAGCTGCTGTAACCAGGGAAAAGGGGAAGGCCGTGTCTTGGGACGTGGTGATAACCCGGGGGATGTGGCGGAGCACAAGCCGGTACCCTGCCACAGCACTGCTCACCATGGAGGGACCACACCGCTGCTGCCTCCTCCTCCTCCTCCTCTGCCTGCTCCCACCACTGCCTCTGGAGGAACCTCAGGATCTGCCACTGACACTGTCCAGCACCGCTGACCCCACTGCCCACCTGCTGCGCGGCCGCCCCTCAGCCCCAGTGCGGCCCTACAGCCTCTCGCTGTCCCCTGAGGATTACCACTACTCCCCCAAGCCCCGGCACCTGCGCCCTGGGCGGCTGCGCCGGCTCCTAGGCTCGGCCTTCGACCCCTTCTGGATGGCGACCGAGGAGCCCCGGGGTCGCAACAGCAGCATCCTCGAGGAGAACCTGGAGTCCATGAGCAGGGACCTGGCAGAGGGTGCCGGGCGCTACCGCCGCAAGCTGTGGCGAGAGGTGGAGGGACTGGAGCTGCCCAACCTGCTGCCCCCTGGCCCGGGGTTGCCCCCTGAGCTACCTGGGGCCCTGGCCCGCCACCTGCAGCAGTGGCTAGTGGAACTGGCTGCCTGCCGCCTCACCTCCACCTGGGTTGACCTGGGACCCGTCTTCTGGCCCCGCTGGGTGCGCCACACTGCTTGTGACACCAGACCCCCTGGCTGCTCCTGGCCCCCTGGCATGATCTGCCGCCCCACACAGCTCACTCGCATCAAGCTGCTGGCCTGGCACTGCTGGGTCCCCCAGCACCCAGGCCCACCAAACTGCGCCTGGCGGCAGATCCCCTACCCTGTTGTGACTGCCTGCAAGTGTTCCTGTCGCTGAGGGGGCTGCAGGGGGCTATGGAGGGACCCCATGGTACCTGTTCTTGTAGCCAAAAGGCCTGAAAAGGCAAGAGTCTGCCTGGATTCGCCCTTGGATCTGGGGGGAATCCCCAAACAGAGAAATAAACCTCCAGAAAGGAAGCGCAGACGGCTGCTGTCATTGCTCTTTCTTGCCAAAACTCTTGGGTGGGATGCAGCTGCTTTGCCCCTTGCCCTCCGCAGGGAGGCATTAGCGCCAGTGGAGGCCCTTGTGCAGCATTTATCTCCATCAAAGGATGCAGAATGGGAAAATCATGGAACCGAACAGCAGGCTCAGACCCTGTTTGCATCAGCCCCAGATGACTCAGTCCAAGCTGGGGCATCCCTGCCTGCCTGGGTAGGGGAGTAGGCAGGGAGTGAGGGCAGGGAAACGTCAGCAGGGAAGGGGTAGAGGGAGGTGGGTCACAGCTCAGGGTGGAATCAGTGGTGGCTAGAGAGACTGTAGGGCATCAGCAGGTAGAGGGGCAGTTTTGGAACTGCAACGAGGCAGCCTAACAAGGATAGAAGTAGGGGGTGGACAGGGACCCAGGGCTGGAAGCATCTATAGGGCTGGGTGCATATGGAAATGGGATGGGATAGGACAGTCCTCTACTGGGTAAGATACATGAACCCCCCACCTATCCCATGATGTGAGTGACAGCTCCAGACTCAGGACTGTCAGAGTAGCATGTAAGGTCTGAGGTGGGTCAGGGAGCCTAAGCTGGGAACTGCATCCTTGAAAAGCAGTGTCTGCCTCTTCATTCCACCCAGCAAAAAGTCCTCTGCTTTCTGGGCTAAAAGCTGCATGGAGCTGTAAATCACATCTAGGCTGGGAGGCCTTTAAGAAATAAAGAGCTGGAGGCTTTGCCTGGGATTGCAATACTAACATGATGCCTTGCAGTTGATGGGCGCTGCATTATTCATTTCCAGCGTGCCATCATCTGACCCTCCTGCTTTCCCAGGGCTCCAGCGCTCCCCAGTCTGCTCCCCAGACAGCTCCACAGTCTGCAGCAGAGCTTGGCCTTGAAGCAGGCAGAGAGGCAGAACAGTGCAGGGAGTTGGCTGCCGAGGGGCCTGAGAGATATGGAGGGGAGAGGGAGGTCGGTGCACCTGGTGAGGGGGGAGCCCCCATGTGCACACAATAACAATTGTGTGCGTCACAGGAGGGGGGCTGCTGCTGCTCTGGCTTGCAGCTGAGCAGCAAGACATCTGTATGGCTGTTCTCCCATTCAGGAGGACTTAAAAGCTGGAGCAGGGTTAAACTGTTTGGGTTAGCTGCCATGGACAGAGCAGAGACAACAGCAAGACTGCCTGCAGAAGGCCAGGGGAGAGGGGGAGACCAGGGCTGGGGACCAGCAGGAGAGAGGTGCTAGGGAGCATGGTACAGGTGTACAGTGGAGGTGTGCTGGTAGGGGGGAGCAAAGGGGGGGCGTGTGCACATGCATTGGGCTTAAAACAACAGTGATTCAGTTTAGGGTTTCAACCCCCTGTACCAGATCCCATCTGGCTGAAGCTTCATCTCTTCCATGTTGCAAGAGGGGCCTGAGCACATCCCCCTGCCCTTTCCCCATTACATTCTCCATGTCAAAATACTGCCTGTTGAAAAGGGTTTGCAACACTGTGAGTGTGTCTGGTGCCACAAAAGGGGAACTCCATATCACAGTTTATCAGCAGGCAAATTAAACAAAATCAGCAGTTATGCTACCAGCTGTTCTAACAAGGTCTGGTTGCAGCCCTATCAGAAACACGTTTCTCCCCTGCCCTTTGCAACCCCGGATTAACTCCGGTATTCTTCTGCAGTTGCTCTGGTTCAGGTCAGACATGCTATTGCCCTGTAGCTCACTCCCTGACTGCCCAAGGGCATGTAGCAATTTCAGAGCAGGTCTTTGCTGATGTGACTCAGTGCTCCAGCACCTAGGCACAGCACACTCCATTCCAGCTGGAATCTGTCTCCAGCTGCAAGTACTCATTCAGCACGTGGGCAGGTGGCAGGACACACGTGACTTCTAGAGCAAAACTGATGCAAACAAAGCAATCCTGTGATGCCCAGGACCCACTTGTTCCTGCTTTAATGCTCAAATGCTACGCCAACACAGCTTGGAGGAACAAATCCAGAGATTCCTGCCTGATGGAGGAAAATTACAGGTTTCTGTGCCCTGCTCTGCCTCTGGCTGACACAGACCCTCTTGCCATGCTGCTGCCCGCTGCCCGATGGCCCCTCTGGGGCAAGATGCCTTTCCCAGGGCAGTTTTGGGAGCACCACAGCAACTGGCAAAGCCTTATAGCTGGTCCTGGGGACCAAGCAAGCCTCACATCTAACACCCGAGAGCAAGAAGGAGAGAAAGCAATACTGGAGTTTTGGCTGGCCCATGTCCTCTTTCCCTAACCAGCTGCTGGTGGCACAGATTGCAAAGGGCTTGGGAAACACCCCTGCCTTGGTGGGGAATTGCAACAGGCAGATCTGCCAGTGATGCTGCTGGACCCAGAAGAGAGCATAGAAGAAGCAGGCAACCTCAAAGCACACCAGCAATGCTGTATTTCCATCAGCAGGAGAGAACAGGAACTGCAGTGCTTCAGCATCTGGACTGAGGCTTCAGGGAAGACACAGCAGAGTGTGTGGTCACAGCACAGGAGGAAGGGGATGGGGTGCAGCTCCTGAATGAGAAAACAAGAGGCAGACAAATATCCACTGCACTGCAGGACACCTTTAATGACACAAGAGCTGGTTGCCAGCGCTACTGCCAGCACGCTGCAACAGCCACGGCCTCCCGCAGGCTGCCGTGCCTTGAGGATCAGTCCTGTTTTTGGCAGCGTGCTGCTCAAGCCCTTTTCCCCCCCAGCAGAGGCACTTGGTTGTGGGCAGGGATGGTGCCGCAGGAGGTGTTTGCTGGCCCCTCAACGCAGCGCTCCGTGTTTCCGTCCCACCTCGGTGAAGGCGTCCACACAGCAGTCGATGTCCTCGTCACTGTGCACGGCTGAGATCTGGACCCGAATGCGGGCCTTTCCCTTGGGGACCACGGGGTAGCTGAAGCCAATGACATAAATGCCTGGGAAGGAAACACAGGGAGAGTCAGAACTGGCTGGGAGGGAGAGAGGCAGGTTGATGGGTACTGGGTGATAGAACGGCTTTTGGATCCTCCCTCTCCTCTCAATAACCACTTCCAGCCTTCAGGGTTTTCAAGTGCCATCTTCTCCCAAGCATGGAAATGAGGGTTACAGCCAGTGATGGGGGATGGAGTCCAGCATGGCAGGACAAGAGCATCAATCTAAACCCCCTCCCCAGTAGAGAAACAAGAAACATCTGGGGGAGACCAGGAGGATGTTTGCAGCTGGAGAGTGGAAGAGTTCCTTATGATGACTTAAATTTGAGATTTCATCCAGAAACATCCTCTGGAGGAGGGCTGGTGGTAGCATCACCAACAACTGTCCCTTCCCTCAGGGAATGTGTCTGCACACAGAGCTCTCCCCCCCAGTTCACCTCTGTTCAGCATGTCCTCAGCCATGACTGAAGCCAGCCGAGCATCCCCCAGCATGACCGGACAGATGGGGTGGTCTTTCCCCGAGATAGTGAAGCCAGCTGCCGTCATCTTGCTTCTGAACCTGGTGAGGAGAACAAGAGGATTAGTAAAAACTTCATCACCCCTGTCCTTGGGGACTGCTGCCTTTCTTTCCCCTGAGAGCCCTGGCCACTGGGGCTGGGTGAGTTTTGCTCCACTGTGCATCCTCTGGGCAGGGAAAAGATGTCTCTTCCTGGAGTGACCTCCTGCCATGTCCTGCTCACCAAAATGGGACTGCAGATCCTTGAGGGGTAGATGTGTCCCAGCACACAGGGCATCCAGATATGACATACCTGCCTGCACATCTGTCTGACACACACAGGCACATCCTGGAGCTTCCCCTGAGCACCCCAGAGCTCTGACTTGCAAGCTACCTTTACAGCTATCACAAGGGAGGTGGGGGTGAATAAATACACATAGACAACTCATTCCTAATGAGTTCCTGCTCCCACCCCAATATGGCCCTCTCACCGTTGGGTTTTGGCAGCCATGGACTGTGCAATGGCATTGCTCTCCATGAGCAGGTCCAGGGCCTTGGATGCACAGCCCACCACAGCAGGGGGTAGGCTGTTGGAGAAGAGGTATGGGCGGGACCGCTGGCGGAGCAAATCGATGAGGGGTTTGGGACCGGTTGTGTACCCACCTGCAGATGAAGGAGAGAGAATTGGACAAGGCACCCCAGGGTGACCTGTTGAGAGTGGGACTTCTCAATAAAGCCAACCAGGCCTAAAAATCACAGCTGATGCTTTTGACCAAAAGTTTCCACTTTGACACCAAAGGCAAATGCATGAGGAGGATGACAGTGGAAGGAGCACGTGCCAGGATCTCCCTTGACCCTGCAGCAGCGTAACAAACGAAGCCTCATGCCACCAGCAGAAGAAGACAACACGCATTTGTTGCTGTATCATTAGGTAGAGGAAGAAAACATAAGCAAATGCTGTGGAAGCTCTTAAGGGCATGCAGGATCTTGAACAGAAAAATGCATTCACCTGCAGCTCCTCCAAGAGCTTTTCCCAGGGTGGAATTGATGATGGTGACTTTGTCCATCACTCCCAGGAGCTCATCAGTACCCCTGTAGAAAAAGAAATGTCACATTATCAGCTGTGACAGCACACACCAGGGAAGTTGCTTGATGCCTCAAGGGAAACAAAGTGCCACTAGCCAGGTCTCTGGTGTCCCCCCTTCAGGAAAAGGAAGAACAGCCCTTTGTGATAGTACCACACAAGTGTTGACTTTCCTCTCCTGCAGAAAGGCTACGCTGGGATCTTGTGAGATGAGAGCATGGGTTCTTCATCCCTTACAGATGGGAGAGTGCTCAAACTTCCCACACAGAAGTTTCATAGTCCAAACAAAGCATCAGCTGTTGTAGGTTTCACTAGTGGAACCAACTAGATGTAGTAAACGTGCTCTGCAGCTTCATGTTCTCCAACCCAGAAAGGCAAGATGAGGCATGGCCATCCAGCTGTGAGCTGTCTTGAAACAGTGCTGTCGACAACACC